CTTATCTTATAGTTTAGGTGCTTTAGCCGTTTTTGGTTTTATAGCTTGTTGCTTTGTCTGGTTTAATAATACTGCTTATCCTAGTGAGTTTTATGGTCCCACTGGACCGGAAGCTTCTCAAGCTCAAGCATTTACTTTTCTAGTTAGAGACCAACGTCTTGGAGCTAATGTAGGCTCCGCTCAAGGGCCTACCGGTTTAGGTAAATATCTAATGCGTTCTCCGACCGGAGAAGTCATTTTTGGAGGAGAAACTATGCGTTTTTGGGATCTGCGTGCTCCCTGGTTAGAACCTCTAAGAGGTCCTAATGGTTTGGACTTGAGTAGACTGAAAAAAGACATACAGCCTTGGCAAGAACGTCGTTCCGCGGAATATATGACTCATGCTCCTTTAGGTTCTTTAAATTCCGTCGGTGGCGTAGCTACAGAGATTAATGCAGTCAATTATGTATCTCCTAGAAGTTGGTTAGCTACTTCTCATTTTGTTCTAGGATTCTTCCTATTCGTAGGTCATTTATGGCACGCGGGACGAGCTCGCGCAGCTGCCGCAGGATTTGAAAAAGGAATTGATAGAGATTTTGAACCTGTTCTTTCCATGACTCCTCTTAATTGAGACATGAAATCCAATGCTTGACGTAAGAATCACTTTGATTTTAGTATACATATTGGGTTGAGTCGAGCAGATCATATTGAAAAAATATTTTGTTTTTCAATTCATTTATATCTAATCTTTTTTCGGGCTCGGCTATATCACCACTTAGCCGAGCCCAAAAAACCGAGCCAACCTAAATCAAGAATCAATAAAATAAAAAAATCCATTCGCCAAGAAAAAGGAGAGAGGGGGATTCGAACCCTCGATAGTTATTTGTTTCAAACTATACCGGTTTTCAAGACCGGAGCTATCAACCACTCAGCCATCTCTCCAAAAGCTAATTTCTATTTTATCTTTATTTCACTCAAGAGAACATGACCATACGAATTCATACCCTGTTATCTATCTATGAGAAAGATATCTAGTGTGAATCTATTGGTCTAGTTCTCTATCCGTATATATTATATATACATGATCCAACATGCTCTTTTGTGAAATAAAAAAAACTACCCCTCGATCCATGCCTCAATAAGGGGTGTTATCTAAAATCAATGGATTCATGAAAAAACCCTCCATAATGATAATGTGTTTTTTATTTCTTTTTTGAAAGGGGTCAAAAAAAGGGGTTGGGGGATCAAATGGTATAGTTCTTTTGTTGGTCAATTAGAAGATTATAAACATGACTATTGCTTTTCAATTAGCTGTTTTTGCATTAATTGTTACTTCATCCATTTTATTAATTAGTGTACCTGTTGTATTTGCTTCTCCTGATGGTTGGTCAAGTAACAAAAATGTTGTATTTTCTGGTACATCATTATGGATTGGATTAGTATTTCTAGTGGGTATTCTTAATTCTCTCATCTCTTGAAACTATTCATTCTAGATCAAAAAACGAAATGACCCCTCCCCCCGAATTCTTTCGGGTTGTGAGGCACATTAAAATGGAATATATAAGACCCCACACAGAAAGAAAACTAAAACATTTTTATTATTAATGGGAGGGGTCAAACTTCTTCTATTGGAAAAAGCTTATATCTTATCCTGAATATGATATATAGTAAAACGAAAATATTCATATTATTTTTTTAATATAGAATATACTAATTTGAATTCTATTCTAGAAAAAAATAAGAATATAATATGAAGAATTCTTAATAGAAACGAATATTAATAGAAAATCGTATATTTCGAATAGAAAGATATAGATATTCCATAATCTATTATCTATAAAATATATATGGATTTCGACTTTTCTTGATCACTCCTAATAGATATCAAACACCGCTCTGCACAAATCGAATTGATATATCAAGTAAAAAGTACAATATAGAAAGTATAAAGTACAATAAAAAGAAAAACGCGGATATAGTTTAATGGTATAATTTCTCTTTGCCAAGGAGAAGACGCGGGTTCAATTCCCGCTATCCGCCGTTGCTTATGTATTGAATAGTACATTTATCTATCTATTTCAAAAATAGAAAATAGTGAATTCCAATTTTTATCAAAAATGTTGCGGAGACAGGATTTGAACCCGTGACCTCAAGGTTATGAGCCTTGCGAGCTACCAAGTTGCTCTACTCCGCCATAAGAAGAACAAATGACAATGAATGGAAAACAGAGATTGAATGTACCCCTCCACCATATCTGTACAAATAGAATAAACCATTGATACAGAATGGTAAAGGGACCGTCCTATGATCGCGGATCATCAAAATGAATAAAAAAAATGAAGATAATTTTTTATTCTTACCAACTCGATCTTGTTGCACCGGGCAACAAACATTCGTGAACCATTTCACGAAGTACGTGTCCAGATAATCCAAAGTGTCGATAATTACCTCGTGGTCTTCCGGTCGCAAAACAACGTCGATGAAGACGTGTAGGTGCACTATTACGCGGTAGTACTTCCAACTTTCCCTGAATTTCCCATTTCTCACTTAACGATTGAGCTTTGCTCATTTCTTTTTTTGGAGATCGTCGAATCAAATGATATTTTTGTTCCAATTTTTGCCTCTTCTTCTCCCTCTCAATTACACTTTTCTTTGCCATGCTGATTCATTTCCTGTATCAATGATAGAAGTCGGATCCTAAGATGTCGAAAATTGAAGAAGGTGGTTCCCCTTCTTCATACAAAGAGATTCAATTTTTGCAGATACAATAAAGAATCAAATTAACCAAATTAACCAAATTTACCGGATGTAGAGGCAATCAAGAAAGCTGCATAAGTAAATATATATAACCTACCGAAAAGTGGACTAATCCAACCAATCTTGCTTGGACAATGGAAAGAGCCACAGGTTTATCTCTCCATCGAATCAAATTCTCCAAAGGTGTGCGTTCATGAGCCCATGCTAAAGTTTCAATCAATTCCTGCCAATATCCGCGCCATGAGATTAAGAACATAAATCCAGTAGCCCAAACAAGATGTCCAAATAAGAACATCCACGCCCAGACGGATAAACTATTCATACCAAAGGGGTTATATCCATTGATAAGTTGTGAAGAATTTAACCATAGATAATCTCTTAACCATCCCATCAAATAGGTTGAAGATTCATTAAATTGTGAAACATTACCCTGCCATAATGTAATGTGCTTCCAATGCCAATAAAAAGTAACCCATCCAATGGTATTTAACATCCAGAAAACAGCCAAATAAAATGCGTCCCAAGCAGAAATATCACAAGTACCACCTCGTCCCGGACCATCGCAAGGAAAACTATAACCAAAATCCTTTTTATCCGGCATTAACTTGGAACCACGTGCATCTAAAGCACCTTTTACTAAGATCAATGTAGTTGTATGTAAACCAAGAGCAATAGCATGATGAACCAAGAAGTCTCCAGGGCCTATTGTTAAGAATAGAGAATTACTATTCTCATTAATAGCATTTAACCAACCCGGCAACCATATGCTTCGCCCCGCACTGAGCGCCGGACTATTCGTTGAAGATAAAAGTACATCGAAACCATATGAAGTTTTACCATGAGCAGATTGTATCCATTGGGAAAATATAGGTTCGATCAAGATTTGTTTCTCCGGAGTGCCAAAAGCAAGCATGACATCATTATGGACATAAAGTCCCAAAGTATGGAACCCCAGAAATAGGCTGGCCCAACTTAAATGGGATATGATAGCTTCTTTGTGCTCTAACATTCTTGCCAATACATTATCCTCATTCTGTTCGGGATTGTAATCTCTAATAAAAAAGATAGCTCCATGAGCAAAAGCCCCTGTCATAATAAATCCTGCAATGTATTGATGATGAGTATATAACGCAGCTTGAGTAGTAAAGTCTTGTGCTATAAACGCATAAGCAGGTAAAGAGTACATGTGTTGAGCTACCAAAGAAGTAATGACCCCTAACGAGGCTAGAGCAAGGCCTAATTGAAAATGAATTGAATTATTGATTGTGTCATAAAGACCCTTATGTCCACGCCCCAATCTACCCCCCGGAGGAATATGCGCTTCTAAAATATCTTTTATACTGTGCCCAATACCGAAGTTAGTTCTATACATATGACCAGCAATGAGAAAAAGAATTGCAATAGCTAAATGATGATGGGCCAAATCGGTAAGCCATAAACTTTGCGTTTGAGGATGGAATCCCCCGAGAAGTGTTAGAATGGCAGTTCCCGCGCCTTGCGAAGTACTAAATAAATGATTACTAGAATCGGGGTTTTGAGCATAAAGATTCCACTGACCCGTCAAAAGTGGCCCTAATCCTTGAGGGTGGGGCAATACACTTAAGAAATTATTCCATCGAACATATTCTCCTCTGGATCCTGGAATAGCCACATGGACTAAATGCCCTGCCCAAGCTAAGGAACTGACTCCAAATAGTCCTGACAAATGATGATTGAGGCGCGATTTGGCATTTTTAAACCACGAAACGCTCGGTTTCCATTTTGGTTGTAAGTGTAACCAGCCCGCTAATAAGGATATGAAAGAAAGAAATAATAGAAAAATAGCTCCAGTATAAAGATCCTCATTAGTACGTAAACCAATTGTATACCACCACTGATAAACACCGGAATAGGCAATATTCACTGGGCCAAGAGCACCCCCTCGAGTAAAAGCTTCTACAGCCGGTTGACCAAAATGGGGATCCCAAATTGCATGAGCAATAGGTCTTACATGTAAAGGATCCTGTACCCATGCCTCAAAATTTCCTTGCCAAGCTACATGGAAGAGATTCCCGGAAGTCCACAGAAAAATTATTGCTAATTGTCCGAAATGAGAAGCAAAAATATTCTGATAAAGACGTTCCTCAGTAATATCATCATGACTCTCGAAGTCATGTGCGGTAGCAATACCAAACCAAATACGACGAGTAGTGGGGTCCTGAGCTAAGCCTTGGCTAAACCTTGGAAATCTTAATGCCATAATGCTTTTCAAATCCTCCTAGCCATTATCCTACTGCAATAATTCTTGCTAAGAAGAATGCCCACGTTGTGGCAATTCCACCCAGAAGGTAATGTGTTACTCCTACAGCACGTCCCTGTACAATGCTCAAGGCTCTAGGCTGAGTAGCAGGAGAAACTTTTAATTTATTATGAGCCCAAACGATGGATTCAATAAGTTCTTGCCAATAACCACGCCCGCTGAATAGAAACATTAAACTAAAAGCCCATACAAAATGGGCGCCTAAGAAAAAAAGACCATATGCCGATAATGAGGAACCATAAGACTGAATTACCTGGGATGCCTGCGCCCATAAGAAATCGCGAAGCCACCCATTAATGGTAATCGAACTCTGGGCAAAGTTTCCTCCTGTGATATGAGTTACTACTCCTTGATCATTTATACTTCCCCAAACATCTGACTGCATTTTCCAACTGAAATGGAATATTACTACAGAAATTGCATTGTACATCCAAAATAATCCTAGGAAGACATGATCCCAAGCGGATACTTGGCATGTCCCCCCTCTTCCAGGGCCATCACAAGGGAACCGAAAACCGAGATTTGCTTTATCCGGTATCAATCGTGAGCTACGAGCAAATAGAACACCTTTTAGGAGTATCAATACCGTTACATGAATAGTAAATACATGAATATGATGTACCAAAAAATCTGCAGTTCCTAATGGAATAGGTAACAAAGCTACTTTACCGCCCACTGCCACTAAATCACCACCGCCCCAAGTCAAACTGGTGCTTGTTGTTGCACCAGGGGCTGTTGTGCCAGGTGCTAAAGCATGAGTATTTTGTATCCATTGAGCAAAGACAGGTTGTAATTGTATAGCGGTATCTGAAAACATATCTTGAGGGCGCCCTAAAGCACTCATGGTATCATTATGAATATACAACCCAAAACTGTGAAAGCCTAAAAATATACACACCCAGTTGAGATGTGATATGATTGCATCACGATGTCTAAGAACACGATCTAATAGATCGTTGTATCGAGTAGTTGGATCATAGTCTCTTACCATAAAAATGGTTGCATGTGCAGCAGCACCAACTATGAGAAAGCCCCCAATCCACATGTGATGTGTGAACAATGACAGTTGTGTACCATAGTCAGTAGCTAGGTATGGATAAGGAGGCATAGCATACATATGGTGAGCTACAATAATGGTCAAAGAGCCTAACATAGCTAGGTTAATAGATAATTGAGCATGCCATGACGTTGTTAGGATCTCATATAGACCTTTATGACCCTGGCCTGTAAATGGACCTTTATGGGCTTCTAAAATATCTTTTATACCATGACCAATACCCTAGTTAGTTCGATACATATGACCAGCAATGAGAAAAAGAATTGCAATAGCTAAATGATGATGTGCAATATCAGTCAGCCATAGACCACCAGTTAGTGGGTCTAATCCTCCACGAAAAGTAAGAAAGTCCGTGCATTTTGACCAATTCAAGGTAAAAAATGGGGTTGCTCCCTCAGCAAAACTTGGATAAAGTTGAGCCAAAAGATCCCGATTCAAGATAAATTCATGAGGAAGTGGGATCTCTTTGGGATCTACTCCAGCATTTAGAAATTGGTTAATTGGTAAAGATACATGTACTTGATGCCCCGCCCAAGAAAGAGACCCAAGTCCTAGTAGACCTGCCAAATGGTGATTCAACATGGATTCTACATCTTGAAACCAAGCCAATTTTGGAGCAGCTTTGTGATAATGAAACCAACCAGCAAAAAGCATTAAGGCTGGAAAGACCAACGCACCAATTGCAGTACAATAGAGTTGTAATTCACTAGTTATTCCAGATGCTCGCCAAATCTGAAAAAAACCAGAGGTTATTTGTATTCCGCGGAAACCTCCGCCTACATCACCATTCAATATTTCTTGGCCCACTATTGGCCAAACCACCTGGGCACTAGGTCGAATGTGAGTAGGATCATTTAGCCAAGCTTCATAATTGGAAAAACGAGCACCATGGAAATACATGCCACTCAGCCAAAGAAAGATAATGGAGAGTTGGCCGAAATGAGCACTAAATACTTTTCGGGAAATTTCCTCTAAATCACTAGTATGGCTATCGAAATCATGAGCATCAGCATGTAGGTTCCAGATCCAAGTAGTAGTATCAGGTCCCTTAGCTATTGTTCTTGAGAAATGACCAGGTTTTGCCCATTGCTCGAAAGAAGTTTTTATGGGATCCCTATCTACCAAAATTTTGACTTCTGGATCTACCAAAATTTTGACTTTTGGTTCCGGCGAACGAATAATCATTGAGTCCTCCTCTTTCCGGACAACACATACAAAGAGACCCGCCAACAGAAAACATAATTAATGAACTTATGAGAGATGTTTATATTGAATATCTTTCTCTTCTATCTCCCATATATCTATTCTATATTTTCTTTAGTTATTCACTAGAACAATTATGATCCGGAAGTTAATCCAGGGCAAGTGTTCGGATCTATTATGACATAGCAGTGAGGTGCTCAACGGACCCTTTTATTTGACTGATGGGGGCAATAAACTATAAAAAATTCAATATATATAATGGATTCTCTCTATATTTTATTCTCTATTAAAGAATAAAATATAGAGAATAATATTAGAATTCGAATAAAAAAATAAAATAATAAAAAGACTGTTCTTATTCAAAACGCCCTGTGATCTTCAACCAATTCTGTGCCTCAATATAATTACCAGGGGTAAGGGCTATAGCTTGTTTCCAATATTCAGCAGCTTGATCAAACCAAGATTCTGAAATTTCAGAATCTCCCTGTCGAATGGCCTGTTCTCCGCGGTCGGAATAGGTGAGTAAAATCCTTCCCTTAGAACCGTACTTGAGAGTTTCCTGACTCATACGGCTCAACAGTCAATTCTTTTGATCTTCTATTTTTTCTGGAGTTAATAACAAGAAAAGAGGTTAATTACATGAGTTTTAAACTTGAATTTGGATTAATAATTCAATTTAACCCTTTGTTTTTAGTTTTATCTTTTTTCCTACCTTCTGAAGAATAAAGCATCGACATTCACACTAACGTTCTTATTCGAATTTTCTGAAAGGTAACTATCTCGATTTCATATATCATTTCATATATTTCATATATGATATATATATTTCTATAGAATCCTTGAGAAAGACTTTTCTTCATAAGAAAAGAGTTACTCTCTTTGGGATCTGATACTACACCGCTGCTCAAAACCTTAGGGGATCCACTTTATTACATAAGTCGATTCCTAATCTATCATCATATAAGTAAGCAGTTCTTGTTGTATCGGCCAAAAACCTTGTGAATTGATCTTTACGGTGCTTCCTCTATCAATTAGATCTTTTATCCATAGAAAAAAGTATCTAGGCATATATATTCTATTTCTTCAGATTTTTACTTCTATGAAGTTTCTTTCTTTGCTACAGCTCATAAAAAGCGTTGTTTCGAACGAATATATATGTAGAAAGCCTATTTTTCTTTTTTTGTCTAGTATTTCTTACTATTAGTGGAGGTTCTTTTCTTTTTTCTTTCTATAGTGGAGATAGTCGCACGTAATGACAGATCACGGCCATATTGTTAAAAGCTTGAGGTAAGAAAGGGTTTCGTTCGAGTGCCCGAAAATAGTATTCCAAAGCTTTTGTATGTTCTCCGTTACTTGTGTGGATAAGACCTATGTTATAAAGTATATAACTTCGATCATAGGGATCAATTTCCAGTCGCATAGCCTCATAATAATTCTGTAAAGCTTCCGCATAATTTCCTTCAGATTGAGCCGACATCCGTTACGGTCATCATTCGGTTCAAAGAATCTCCGTTCCAGAACCGTACGTGAGATTTTCATCTCATACGGCTCCTCCTTTATGTGGATAATGATAAACATCCATGGAATCCAATCAAAAAAGATTGCAATATTCTCATTATCAACTGAGCGGGACTAGTGTTTTTACACGAAATCTCTAGCCAACCTTTCTGTAAAGGATCTTTTATTAACATTTAGTAAGTTATTACTGGATAATATAGTAACTTCAACAATTTATTTGTCCTCAACGCCGCTTCATTTCCCGGAATTAGTCACTTCAACAGTCTTCGATGGTTATATGGGTATCCAAAATACGAACGAGATGGATGTTTATTGTCCCAACCATTCTAGTTAGTCCCGATCCCGATAAGAAAGGAAGGATTTTTTTTACAAAGTTTTCTCCTGTTGTTGATTCCCTAGCGTAGTGCTTCTTCCCCCATGCCGCTTATTGGTACTAGTGGAGTAGGATTAACCTAACCCCATACATAGGTATAAATAGGTATAACCTTTCGCTTAATACTATACTAAAATTGAAGCATATTGAGGATGCATTAATCGGGAATACACGACAGAAGGGATTAATCGTTTTATTTCCAAACTTCACCTTCAGCAAGCGTAGGTTTTTTTTCAAAATTTTTTTATTTCTCTCTGAAGAATGTATCTTTCTCCTAAGACTGAGATCGGTAAAAAAAAAGAATAATAATAATCAAATCGCACCATCTCTGTAATAAGTGAATGCCTCTTTTTCTCCAGAAGTTGTCGGAATTATTCGTAATAAGATATTGGCTACAATGGTAAAGGTCTTATCAATAAAATTTCCATTTATCCGAGATCTAGTCATAGGTAGCAATCCATTCTAAAATTTTAGCATGATAAAATAATTCCCCAAACAGAGGAATTGTACAATACAGTACGAAATAACGTAAAAATGGACTTCTTAATCAAATTACTTTATTCTACGGTAGGCCTTGAAGTAGGTTTTTTTTTCAAAAAAAAAAAAATTCTTTCTATTTCTATTTTTTTAGTTTCAATTGATTGTGTGCGCGTACGCAAATGGGATATAAATGCCTCACTATTCACTCGGTTTAGGGGCATAATCATTATGTAGGAGAGATGGCCGAGTGGTTCAAGGCGTAGCATTGGAACTGCTATGTAGGCTTTTTGTTTACCGAGGGTTCGAATCCCTCTCTTTCCGCACCCTTACCAAGTTCATCAATGTTACTGACCTCAATGTTTGAAATAATAATAGATAAGATTTTTGTTTATGTAATATAGAAAATTGTGGATAAAGTGGGCAAGGAATAACAATTTTCCTATACCCACTTCTATACACGAATGGGGGAAAATACTCGGATCAAAATTCTTGTTATTTGAACTAGGTTTTAGTCTGACGAGAATAATATTCTACAACCAGCAATTCCTTAATTTTCAAACCAACCCATTGACTATCTATTATTTGATTGACTAATCCTTTATATTGGGATGGATCAAGAGTCAAATGGGTTGGCAATTTTTCGCGGGGGGCTGATTGAAGAGAATTTTGAATCAGAGTTCTAGATTTTTGTTCATCCTTGGCTGTAATAATATCTTCAGGTTTACAACGATAACTTGGTATATTTACTATACGACCATTAACTAAAACATGTCTGTGGTTAACTAATTGACGGGCTTGAGGAATAGTCACAGCCATACCCAATCGAAAAAGTATGTTATCCAAACGCATTTCAAGTAATTGAAGTAAAACTTGACCGGTTGACCCTTTCGCTTTTCCAGCGATACGAACATATTTCAGCAATTGGCGTTCTGGAAGACCATACTGAAAACGCAATTTTTGTTTTTCTTCTAAACGAATAGAATAGTAAGATTTTTCCCTTTTTTCCCTTTTTTCACTGGAGCGCGATTGTTCGCTTCCAACTGGAAGCTGTTTACTGGTTAGTCCTGGTAAAGCCCCCAGACGGCGTATTTTTTTCAAACGAGGCCCTCTGTAACGTGACATAAACACTCCTTTTTTGTTAAATGGAAAATTTCATAAAGAAAAATTAAAACTAAACTAAATGACAAAAAATATTCTAAATATAGTGTAGTACAAAGAAGAATTGGAAAGATTCTATCAGGATCCGAATTTAATTCTATTGTATATCTATATAAATAAAAAAAAGGCGGTTATTTTCTTGATTTGTTCTACAGAAAAGGAACACCCTATTCTTTTTTTTTCCTAAAAAAAAAAGAGATTATCCCTTATGTCAAAAATGAAAAAAAAAATAGAGAGAAAAAAGCCGGCTATCGGAATCGAACCGATGACCATCGCATTACAAATGCGATGCTCTAACCTCTGAGCTAAGCGGGCTCTCAGAACACAAATTGTGCATTTCTCAGAATTCTTTCCTAAACTACCGGGATCCTAGTTATTAACTATTTACTATTTACTATTATCTCTTCATAACACAATTACTATATCATAATCTAATCAAATAAATACTAGAATATCAAAGAAATATAGAATATTCTATATTTCTTTGATATTCTAGTATATAACATATAATCACAATCGGAATAATTTTAAGATACAGATCTCAATTATTTGAATTACCAGTTACCTAGAATACTATTTTTTTCATTTCTCTAATAATTCATAATTTCTCAAATATTTTTTGATCCATAAAAAACTTATTTGATAAACAAGAATTTGAATTCATATATCATATAGTAAGATTCTATTTTTTTTAGTTTAGTATAGAATCTTTCCTATTCGAAAAAATAGGAAAGATTAGATTGAACCAAATTTAAAAATCACATCCCGATTTATCTATCTCTTATCTATCTAGCCGATTTCTCTATCTCTTATATATCTAGTACTTTACTTTCTCAATAAAAAATACAAGAGATAAAATGTCACCATAAGTAGAGGTAGAAATCTATTGCTAGTGATGGTTATCATTACATAATATTCAATAGTGATAATTATATAAGAAAATGTCACATATTTTGATAACTCTTGATAGACTCTATAGATCCCCGATACATAGTTATCAAATAGGAAATAAGTAATTCCGAGATAGAGAAACATGTTTCGGTAGGTCAGAGACCGTCCAAAAGTAGCTAGAAAAGTATAAAAAATGATTGTATATTCCACTAAGATATACACATAGAGCTGTATAAAGAAAATATACAAAACTATAAGACCTTGGTGGCGAACGTAATATAAATTTACTTTAGAAGATATTATTCTATTCCGAATATATTTCAATACAAAATGCAAATAATGACTGTTTCCATAGTGCGCTCTGATTCGCAATACAATGTCGAATAGTACCATATAAGAAAATACATTTATTTGCTCGATGAATTCAACCAGCTTATTAAATCGAGCTCTTCCTCGTCTCTCAAGTTTATCTAAAACTGCGATACGCTGAACCATATTATAGTACGATCTTAGTATCTTGCGCAGTTTTGCCATCAAAAGTTTATCTAAAACTGCGATACGC